TTATAAGAACAGAGACTTTCACGGCCGGAATCCATAGTAGAATGCAGATTCGGGCTATAGGGCCGTGGTCTAAGTGAACCATTCAGTCCAGACGTTTCGTCAGCTACTGCGGCTGACATCTTCAGTGGTAGTGCTGCGTTGACAACGTGAACGTAGATTGTATCTCGATGTCTCGACAGCGACTGACATCGAGATACAATCCGGACAGTCCGAATCTGCCTCACCTGTTTTGTCCGGATGTGCCAAAAAAACCGTTAGCGGAACTATAAACTAAACAAACAAAACAGTAGATATAGATTATGTACATTATACACGTAAACACTAGTCACTTTTTAGCTAAACTAAAGAAATTTTTAATGAAACTCAGTAACAAGGTATCGGTCCTTACAACCAGAATGTAATTTTTACATAAAAACTTTAATTTTTTAACTTTTTTCGATATCATTCTTTCAAGGTGAGGTTTTATTGTGCATTCACTTGACACGAACTCTAGATCACAACTGACGTTTCTTGGAGGGATTTGGTTATTATGGCGGCAGGTTTTAGTAGTAAATTTGAATTGTCCGGAGTGCCCCATGTCCGAATCTGCCCCACTCTACCCTATGTCATTAGGGGTTTATCCCAACATCATTGTATTTCAAATAGTTCGTGTTCCTTTTCTTTATTTTGCAGTCATAAAATCTATTACTATTTTCGTTAGAGTGCAATAGTCGATACAATTGATCACCTTCAAATCATTGACATCCGATACCAAGAGTTGTTGCACGCTGGACATTTGCACGTACACTGATCACTCCCTTTCTCTTCTTATCGAACCGCACCCCTTATACCCCACTTTCTTATCTTGGACCAACCCCGCTGTTTATTCTATTACTAATCCAATTAATGTTTCTAAACCTTACTAAATCCACCTACTCTCCCTCTTAACACAATTGTTGTTAATATCCGAAAAAAGCATAAAATCATCATATTCGAGAGTGAATAAGTGACAATCATAACAGAAGTGTGTAACAATCATAAGAGAAGTAACAATCAAGTGACAATCATCAGTGACAATCACCAGTGACAATCACAATCATAGACAATCATCGCTAGTCAAGCATAATACGAGCGTTTCGTAAAATAATAGTTAAGTAATATTAATATTTTTTAGCGTTAGGTTTTTATTTATGTTGCAAGTTTAAATAAACACAACATTAAACAATCATCACTAGTCAAGCACATGTACAAGCGTTTCGTAAAATAATAGTTAGGCAATATTAATATTTTTTAGCGTTAGGTTTTTATTTATGTTGCAAGTTTAAATAAACACAACATTAAAAAACTAACGTGAGTTTTAATCATAAAACAAGTTCGTCAAACCAGGCGTCAACA